AGAGAGAGAGAGAGAGAGAGAGAGAGAGAGAGAGAGAGAGAGAGAGAGAGAGAGGCACGCTACTGTCTTTCCCAAACACAACGCACACTGTTAGGGAGACGTTAGACACTCCTCGTGGCGTCCTCAGGCCCCACAGGTTTGGTTTTCTGGAGGGACCTGTCCTCGGGGAATGGTTCCAGGGACGAATCCTGGGGGCTTTCTGCAGCTAGTTTTATATTAGTATACACTGTCGCGGGAGGTATGTCCTTGCTGCTCCGGTTTGGGATGTCCGCTGGAGAGGCATGTTGGTCTATAGGCAAAGAGTGCAAATATGTGGGGTCCGCCAAAAAAAAAAGAAATAAAAAGGCGGGTGATCGCCGCGAAGCCTCTGATGAATCGCCGGTACTATGCGGCCAGACCCAAGAAGACTCAAACCTGTGTCAGCGTTGTTGGTGTGGGCGCTTCCCGAATCGCTTCTACCTTTCGTGAGTCTGGTCTCAGTCCTCCTCGGGTTACCACGTACCCGAAGAATAAGATTTCCGAGAGGAAGAACTCGCTCTTTTCCAAGGCGATCTTGAAACCGGCATCCCGTAAGGCTCCAAGCGTCCATTCAATGTGTTGTGCATGTCCGTGAAACGAGTCCGAGTACACCAGAATATCATCGATGTAAACGATGACGCAGAGGTTGACCATCCCCTGTGTCAACCGAACGTGACGTTCATGATGGATCTCTGGAAAGTGGCCTGCGCATTGCATATTCCCATAGGGCATCGAATCCCCTGCCACGTGCCTTCAAATAATATGAACGCCGTCCTTGGCCGGTCCTCTCTTTTCAGTAGAATATGATGGAAACCGTGGTGGATAATACGCTGGATATCAAACTTACAGAAATGATTAGCACACCCAATCGCATCCAACAAATCATCAATCCGGGGTAGTGGGTATACATCTTTGATCGTGATATCATTCAATTTCCGGTAATTGATGCAGATGCGGACGGATCTGTTCTTTTTTGGGACCAAAACTATGGTAAAAGACCATCGCCCCGTAGCTGGTTCGATCCATCAATTAGTCTCAAATTCTCAGATTCGGGGGCTCGTTAGACACTCCTCGGGCGCGTAAAGTCCCCGAGGAATTGTTCATTCCACCTATCCTCGGGGATGCAGTCGGAAAAAAAGAGTGAAAACACAACAAGGGAAATTCCTTGGGCTCTGAGGATTCCCCAGCCACTTCTTCCTTTGGGCAAAAGGAAACCGCGTTTCACGGAGAGGAGCGGGCACATGGGTAGAGAGACGTTACAACTGGCACCCTATTGCAAGGCCTCACGCACATTTGATTTTTTTTTTTCTTTTCTTTTTTCCATGGCTACCGCGGACCCGGACACCGGACCGATCCAGACCCAGACAACCAGTCGGTCCGGATATGATCCAGACGTCCAGATTTGTGGGCCAGTCCGGACCGTCCGAACATGGTCCGGATCAGTCTGGATGGTCCGGATAATCATGTCCAGATCGGTCCGAATTGGAAACACACACA